CCCTGATGAACACAGATGCAAAAATCCTCAACAAATGACTAGCAACCCAAATTCAACAACACATTAAAAAGATCATTCACCATCATCAAGTGGGATGTGTCCCAAGGTTGCAAGGATGTTTTAACATATGCATATCAATCAACATATAACATTACACAGAACCAAGGGAAAAAAACAATCATTTCAACAGATGCTGAAAAAGCATTCAATAAAATTCAGCATCCCTTCATTATAAAAGCTCTCAGCAAACTGCATATAGAAGGAACATACCTTAAAACAATAAAGGCCATATATGACAAACCCACAGGTAACAGTGTATTGAACAAGGAAAAACAGCTTTTCTCTAAGATCTGCAACACAGCCCATTTCTACCACTTTTATTCAACAGAATACTGGAAGTCCTACCCAGAGCAATTACGCAAGAGAAAGAAATAAAAGTCACCCAAATTGGAGAGGAAGAAGTCAAAATTATCCTTATTCACAGATAACAAAATCTTCTATTTGGAAAAACTGAAAGACTTCACCAAAAAACTATTAGAACTTACAAAAAGGTTTCAGTAAAGATGCAGAATTCAAAACCAACATAAAAAAATCAGCAGCACGTATCATGCCAACAGCAAATAATTGGAAAAAGAAATCAGGCCAGGCGCGGTGGCTCATGCCTGTAATCCCAGCACTTTGGGAGGCTGAGGCGGGCAGATCACCTGAGTCAAGAGTTCGAGACCAGCCTGACCAACAGGGAGAAACCCCGTCTCTACTAAAAATACAAAAAATGAGCCCGGCGTGGTGGTGCACACCTGTAATCCCAGCTACTCGGGAGGCTGAGGCAGGAGAATCGCTTGAACCCAGGAGGCAGAGGTTGCGGTGAGCTGAGATCGCGCCATTGCACTCCAAACTGGGCAACAAGACCAAAACTCTGTCTCAAAAAGAAAAAAGAAAAAGAAAAAGAAAAAAAGACATTAAGAAAATCCCATTTACTGCTGGGCACGGTGGCTCACACCTGTAATCCCAGTACTTTGGGAGGTCGAGGCAGGTGGATCACAAGGTCAGGAGATCAAGACCATCCTAGCTAACACGGGAAACCCTGTCTCTACTAAACATACAAAAATTAGCCAGGCATGGTGGCGGGCACCTGTAGTCCCAGCTACTTGGGAGGCTGAGGCAGAGAACTGCTTGAACCCGGGAGGCAGGTGTTGCAGTGAGCCGAGATCGCACCACTGCACTCCAGCCTGTGTGACAGAGCAAGACTCCGTCTCAAGGAAAAAAAAAAAGACTTAAATCTAAGACCTGAAACTACAAAACTACTAGAAGAAAACAAAGGGGAAATGCAAATTCTTTTGGAAATTGGTCTGGGTCAGATTTTTTTTGTGTAAGACCTCAAAAGCACAGGCAACAAAGGGGAAAAAAAAAAATAGGCAAAAGTAAAAAAATTTACATCAAGTTGAAAAGCTTCTGCACAGCAAAGGAAATAATCAACAAGCCAGGTCTGTAATCCCAGACGCTTGGGAGGCTGAGGCAGGAGGGTCTCGAGCCCAGCAGTTCGAGGCTGCAGTGAGCTATGATCGCACCACTGCACTCCAGCCTGGACGACACAACAAGACCCGAAGCAAGAAACAAAACTATCAAAGTAGTGACGAGACAATCTACAGAATGGGAGAAAATATCTGAAAACTATCCACCCAACAAGGCATAAATAACCAGATTATATAAGAAATTCAGCTCAACAGCAAAAACACAAATAACTTTATTAAAAAATGGACAGAAGATCTGAATAAATATTTCTCAAAAGAAGACCTACAAATGGCCAACAAGTGTATGAAAAATGGTCAACATGACTAATCACCAGAAAAATGCAAATCAAAACCACAATAAGATTTCATCTCACCCTAGTTAAAACGGCTTTTATGAGAAAGACCAGGAATAGCAGATGCTGTTGAGGACGTGGAGAAAGGGGAGCTGTCGTACACTGTTGGTGGGAATGTAAGTTAGCACGGCTGCTATGGAAAACAGTATGGAGGTTCTTCGAAACACTACAAATAGAACTGCCATCGGACCCAGCAATCCCACTACTGGGTATAGCCCCAAAAGAAGGGAAATCAATATACTGAAGAAATACTGCACTCCCATGCTCACGGCAGCACTACTCACATAGCCAAGATTTGCAATAGACCTAAGTGTCCATCAAAGGATGATGGAGCCGGGCGCGGTGGCTCAAGCCTGTAATCCCAGCACTTTGGGAGGCCGAGACGGGCAGATCACGAGGTCAGGAGATCGAGACCATCCTGGCTAACACGGTGAAACCCCGTCTCTACTAAAAAAACACAAAAAACTAGCCGGGCGAGGTGGCGGGCGCCTGTAGTCCCAGCTACTCGGGAGGCTGAGGCAGGAGAATGGCGTGAACCCGGGAGTCGGAGCTTGCAGTGAGCTGAGATCCGGCCACTGTACTCCAGCCTGGGCGACAGAGCAAGACTCTGTCTCAAAAAAAAAAAAAAAAAAAAGGATGATGGATACAGAAAATGTGGTACATAAAACACAATGAAATACTGGCCATAAGAAAGGACAAAATCTTGTTATTTGCAGCAACACAAACAGAACTGGAGGTCATTCTGTTAAGTGAAATAAACAGGCACAGAAAGACAAATAATGCATATGTTCTAACTCAAAGGTGGGAGCTAAAAATGTGGACTTCATGAAGACAGCAGACTGGTGACTACCAGAGGTGAGGGGGAAGAGGGGATGAATAGAGGTTGATTAATGAATAGTTAGGAAGAAGGAATAAGGCCCAGTGTGCGAAAGTTCGGCAGGTGACAACAGTTAACAAGAATCTACAGTATATTTCAAATACCAGAAGAGAGCAATTCAAATGTTTTCAGCATGACATAAACGTTTGGGATGATCGATATCCCAATTACCCTGATCTGATCATTACACATTATACGAATGTATCAAAACGTCACAGGTACCCTGAAAACATCTATTTTGTATCAATAAAAGATAAATCTTGGCATTAAAAATTTAAAGAGTTAAATACAAATCTTACAAAAGGTATAAAAGACCTAATACTGGAAACTACAAAACACTGCAAAGAAAAACTAAAGAAGACCTAAATAAATAAAGAGATAACACTGTATTCATGGGTCAGAGACTCAATGTTACAATATTGTCAATTCTTCCCCAGATTCAATGGAATCTGCCGCCTGGCCCCAGGAAAAACAGGGAGTTTTGCAGAAACTGACAAAGTGACTGAAAAATTCATGAGAACCAGGAACAGATAAAGCAATTTTGACAAAGAAGAGACAAAAAATTTCAAGTCTCATATTAAATCAGAAGCAGTTACCAAGACAGTCGGTCACAGAGATAAGTGAAACAGGAAAGAGTCCACAAACAGACCCACACATATATGGACAACTGATTTGCAACAAAGATGCAAAGACAGTTCAGTGGAGAAAAGACAGTCTTTTCAACAAACGTTTCTCTTTTCAACAACTGGTTCTCCATGTGCAAAAAAAAAAAACTTCAATCTGTAGCTTGCACCATATACCAAAAAATTAAAAAGGATCATAGCCCTAAATGTAAAACCTAAAACTATCTTCAGTGAGGAAACCCTGTGACGACCCTGGTTTCGGCGAAGGTTTCTCAGATATGACAAGAGCACTCGGAAAAGGTCTAGCTGATAAACTGGACTGCATGAAAATTAACAATTCTACTCCTCGGAAGACACTGTGAAGAGGACTGAAAAGACAAGGCACAGACTTAAAGTATTTACAAACCGTATCTCTGATTAAGGACCTGCATCCAGAATACATTAGAAAAACATTGCAGGCTGGGCGTGGTGCCTCACGCCTATAATACTAATACTTTCGGAGGCTGAGGCGGGCAGATCACCTGAGCACAGGAGTTCAAGACTAGCCTGGGCAACATGGGGAAACCCTGTCTCTACAAAAAATACAAAAATTAGCTATGTGTGGTGACACACGCCTGTAGTCTCAGCTACTTGGGAGGCTGAAGTGGGAGGACCGCTCGAGCCCAGGAGGTCAGGCTGCAGTGAGCTGAGATTGTACCACTGCACTTCAGCCTGGGCAACTGAGTGAGACCCTGTCTCAAAAAAAAAAAAAGATTAAAACTTAACAATAAGAAAAGAAACAACTCAGCTAAAAAAAAGAAAAAGAACAGGTATTTCCCCAGAGAGGGATGACAAATGGGCCCATGAAGATGCCCAACGTCACTGTCAACGGGGAAATGCACACTCAAATGCTGTGCGACGCCTCCACACGCCCCTCAGACGGGGGACAGTTAAAAGACTGATCTCAGAGAAAGGGAAGGACTCATTCTCTGCTTGTGGGCATATAAAACAGTGTAACTCCCTTGGAAAACAATGTGGCGGTTTCTTAAAAAGCCAAACATATGCCTCCCCTATGATCCCGCCACTCTACTCCTAGGTATTTACCCAAGGGAAACAAAAGCCCACGTCTACACAAAGACCTGTCGGCACACGAAGGTTCACAGCAGCTTTATCTGCAACAGCCACAACCTGCAAACGACCCACATATTCGTCAACGGGTGACAAACTGCAGGCACCTGGACACCACTTGGCAATGAAAAGGAGGAATTACAGACAACAGCTACGACACACAGGGACCACACAACAATCGTGCCGAGTGACAGCTCGACAAGAGTGTGTATCCTGTGTGAGTTCATCTACGTGGAATTCTAGAAAACTCCAAGCAATCTATAGGGACAGAAAACAGCTGCCTGGGCGCGGGCAGGGGCAGGAAGGAGTGATCACAAAGGAGCACAGGGGACTGGGGGTGACGGGAACCCTCGTTTTTTGATTGTGTTGCTTTCACAGATGTAACCATACTCCTGAACTTGTCCAACTGGACGCTTTAAATAATGTGCAGATTACTGTGTTTGTAATACCTTTATAGTGCCAGTTTGTTTGTTTTTAATGAGGTGACTAGGAGGAGGGGCCTCGGCTGCCCTGCATTCACTGCACTCACCCAAAGCGCTGGTGTCTGTTGAGGGTGAACAGCAGGTAGTCAGCCATGGTCTCCTCCCCGACCAGGTGGTCCAGCACCGTTCCTGTGGAAGCAGCAGCCGAGGTAAGCACTGGAAGGAGCCCACATCTATGCTCTTGCCAAGCTCCAGCACATCCCTTCCAGTCTCAGCCCAAAGACACTGTGCTCGTAAGGAAGAGGCCACCCACCGACAGAGGCTCCCACGGAGGACGGCACTCGGCTGTGGTCCCAGGTCCAACTCCTGCCTGGCATCCGCGACCTACCTCTCTGCCCCGGTCCATCAAACAAGGAAAGCAAAGGCCGCTCATGGGGCCACTCACGGGGCAGGGCGTAACGGTGACCAGAGCCCATCAGCTATGTGCTACTACAGCTCTCACACTACGCTCCGAGGAAGGTCCGGCAGCAACCAGGTCAAAGGCAGTAACAACCCCAGTCTAGGGCCCTGTGCCACAGTCAGTCCTAAAGGTGGGGTGGCAGGGGCCCCAGCCCCAGCCCAGCCCCGGCTCACCACACAGGGCCAGCTTCAGGCCTGTCTCCACACTTTCAATCCGAGGAGCCAGCACTCCAGGAGTGTCTAACAGGAACATCAGGGGCCGCTCAGAGACCTGTGTGGGCACAGAGGGCACAATCAGGCCGCAATGGCAGCCTCCCACCCAGGTGGGCTGCTCAGGAAGCCTGGGCAGCCCCTGACACCCAGCGCTCCGAGGAAGGCCTCGGGGACCCAACCCCACGGCAGCGTCACTCTCACGAAGCTCCAGGCTCCCCAGAGGATCTAATTCCCAATTAATTTGGAGAATAAATAAAAGCATCAGGTCCCAACAGCTTGTCTTCTGCTCCCGAACAAACCACAAGGAAGGGAGTGGAGGGCGGGGGACGTGCTGCTCAGGTCTGCCCTGACTGCTGTGTGGCCCTGGACAGTGGCCTCCTCATCTGGAAATGGGGAAAACAGTGTGCCTTTCCCGAAGGTTTGGCGTAAAGACTATGGGGACTATGGAGTAAGGATGGGGGCAGCACCTGCCAGGGGGTGCTCAGCGGGGACACTGAGTGGAGGGAGGGAAGCGTGGTCAGCAGCAGGAAGCCACGCAGAGGTCAGCAGGTGCCAGATGCCTGCACAGCTCCTGACAGAGTGCTGGGCCTGGCCCCTGAGAACTCTACCTGAATTCTGGACATCACAGCTCTGGTGATTCCAGGCTCGCCACCCACCCTGGCGGCTTTTCCTGCAGGAAAAGGAGAAAAGGAGGCTCAAATGTATACTAAATACAGAAGCTGCAGAACAAGCAGGGAGACGTATGTAACAAACACATCTGGCCAAAATGGAAAAACCTAAAAGCCAAATGAGCTTCCCAAGGCTATGATTTGTTTCACTTTCAGTCCCAAACCAGCTCACAGCAACGGCACTTTCCAAGCCACACAGAGGCTGAGATTATTCAACAAACGCACCAGAACTTGCCTCCCCAGGACTGGAAAGAAACTGTCAGACTGCGGCGGTCAGACCAGAGCTGCTCCTTCCACGCGGTCCCCCTCCTGGACCCACCCCTGCACCCCAAGGTCAGCCTGCCTCCCACAGCACTGTCCACAGGGGGCTGGCTGCTCCAGGACCCAGCTCAGGGGATATCCCAAGGAGAGGCCACTCCACTGTGGACAAACAATGCAAGAATAAAAAAACACAAGTGTCCATCCAGATGAATGGACAGACAGGATGTGGTCTGTACACACAATGAGGTGATCAGCCTTAAAAAGGAATAAAATTCTGACACTCAACACAGATGAACCTTGAGAAACATCACGATCAGTGACATCAGCCAGTCACAAAAGGCCAAGTACTGGGAGTCCCCTTGGAGGAGGTAGTTACAGTCATCACATTCACAGACAGAAAGTGGAACGAGGGGTGTACAGGGCTTGGGGAGTGACTCTTCATATTTACAGTTTCATTTTCAGGTAACCAAAATATTTGAAAATAGTGGTGCTGGTTGCATAACCCTATAAATGTACTTAATGCCACTAATAAAAAATAACACGCTTCAAAATAAACTTAAAAGACTAAATGACTGTAACAACTCTCCGATTAGCACCAAAAACACTCTCTGTAAAATAATGGTTCGCTATAGTTTAAAGCCTTCAGATTTGCACATCACGAATGGGTTTGTTAATAAATACCTTATTAATGTGAAAAATGAAGCCAATAAGGACTTGAATTAAACTTGAAAACACTGAAGGAAAAGAGCACACGGGGCAGTGAGGGGTGCTGGGGGCTTCGGCTTTGAATCAGAGTCTGAGAAAAGCCAGGAGGGAGGAGCGGAGAGGAGCACCTGCGACTCCAGAGTCCAGGAAACCTCCAGCTGCAGCAAGGCGGACGCCATCGGAGGAATGGCCTTGCAGCCTCCCTGCCTGATAATCCAGCCCTGTCTACTTCACACGCTTTGAATTCTCTGGATCAAAGGGATTTAAATAAATGAAAAAATACCAAAGTTTAGAAAAGCCATCCTCATATTAAAGATTTTAAAAGAGAGAAAAATTAAGTGTGAAATTCACAGCAGAATGACCTGGTCCCACTGTTCAACCCTCCTGTGAACTGGACTGAACGAGACAAGCCCAGATGCGCTGGGGGCTGTGGGGTCAGCAGGAGACTGGCAGTGCTCCTCGGGCACGTCCCCTCCGGGAAAGACGGAGGTATCAGCACACCAGCCGCACGCGCCAGTACCTTTCCTGAGGTGCTGCCTCCGGAGGGAGTTGATCAGGGAGGACTTGCCCACGTTGGGGACCCCGATGACCATGATGCAGTACTCCAGGTTCTGTGGAGGCAGAGAGAGGGGTCACAGGGGCCACCCTGGCCGCTAGAGTCTGAGATTCTCCAAACCCACCCAGGCAAGGGGACCCCAGGCCAGGCCAGCTCAGGGAAGACGGGAGGTTTACACAGAGGCTCTGCCCACCCAGTGGGGACGGCCTCAGCCCTTTCCACTGAAGAGAACGAGAGGACAAAGGAGGGGCCTCCCTGCCTGGGGCGCAGCACCTTCTCCTTGGAGAGGCCAAGCCGGAGGGGCTGGCCCATCCCGCGCCAGCCTCCCAGCCCCGGGTCCCACCAACCAACCTCTCCTCGGTGGTAGCGGGGGCTGCTCCCCATCAGCTCAGTGACCATCGGGATGATCTGCAACAAACACCCACTCACGGAGCCACCCCAGGTTGGACGTCTGTGCACCGACCCACTCCTGCCACCTCAGAACAGGATTAGGGATTCCAGGTCTCCACTTTCACACATCAGTTAGGAAAACAGAGACCTCGTATCTGGAATTCTACCCAACATTTCATAGGCAAACTGGGCATTGCCCTTCATCTGGAGGTAGCACACGCAAGTATCCGGTGCTGGGAAACTGGAGTTCTGTCCAGCTCAGACGTCAGACTAAGCTCTGGGGCCCGAGGACCACCTATGCCCGTCCCCTATCATCAAAACAAGCAGGGCAGACCCGGGGCTTCAGGGACAGCTGTGACTGTAACTACCTTCTAATGAAGAAGTACATCAAGCCAGAAAATTCTGCCACGTACAACTGGAAACATGAGCTACCTGAGTCTCCAAAAGACTCTGACCACCGGCCGGGCGCGGTGGCTCAAGCCTGTAATCCCAGCACTTTGGGAGGCCGAGGCGGGTGGATCACGAGGTCAGGAGATCGAGACTATCCTGGCTAACATGGTGAAACCCCGTCTCTACTAAAAATACAAAAAAAAAAAACTAGCCGGGCGAGGTGGTGGGCGCCTATAGTCTCAGCTACTTGGGAGGCTGAGGCGGGAGAATGGCGTGAACCCGGGAGGCGGAGCTTGCAGTGAGCCGAGATCACGCCACTGCGCTCCAGTCTGGGAGCACAGCGAGACTCCGTCTCAAAAAAAAAGAAAAAAAAAGACTCTGACCACCTACAACCCTGGAATGTGTTCACAGCCTGACCTCGTGCCCTCAGTACAGGGAGATGCACTTGCCCCAGGAGGTCACATTCATGTGTGGCAGCTAGAAACCAGCACCCAGGATCTTTTCCAAAGCTTTGCTTCTTACTAAAGCATAAAACAGTTTATAGTACTCCTCGAACCTACTGAAGCAGAAACGTCAGAGCACAGACAAAAAGCCTACCTGCTTGACATTTTCATCCTTTAAACAGTCGGTAAAAATGACATTTTTTAGGCCTTCTCCTTCTAAGCGTTGCATAATTTTCTGAAAGACACAAAACATTTCCATTTGACTTTTTTTATTGGAGTCTCGGCTCTGTCACCCAGGCTGGAGTGCAGTAGCACAATCTCGGCTCCCTGCAACCTCCGCCTCCCCGGTTCAAGTGATTCTCATGCTTCAGCCTCCCAAGTAGCAGGGATTACAGGCGTGCGCCACCACATCCAGTTAATTTTTTAATTCACTAGCCCTAACATGCAATGAAACCAGTGCAAAGCTGTATCACATTTCTAAACATCAGTGTTGTTCATCAGTGGACCTAAAATATGACTGATGCTTAAATCAACAAGTCCTTCACCGATTCAGCTGGTTTTATTGAGCTGTCCATCAAGATGACATAGATGGAGAGATCAAGCACAAGACACACACCTGAAGCCACACACTCTGGGTAGCAAATGCACTCGGGTGTCCCTGCTCAGGGAGGTGGAAGGCAGGGCCACCCAGAGGCAAGTCAACCTCTCTCCCTGGATTCTTCAGAAGCACTGGCCTTTCTCTGACCAGGCGAGACACTGCTGTGCCCTGTACTAGACGGCTGCCCACCAGTCTACAAAAAGTTGCATTTCCAAAGGCAGAAGTAGCCACTGAAGTGATGTAAAAGTACCTAACTAGCGAAAGCACTTGTGATGATTTAAAAAGTAAAATAAAAAAAAAAACAGGCCAGGTGTGGTGATCCCAGCACTTTGGGAGGCTGAGGCTGGCAGATCACCTGAGGTCAGGAGTTTGAGACCAGCCTGGCCAACATGGCGAAACCTTGTCTCTACTAAAAATACAAAAATTAGCTGGGCATGGTGGCACACACCTGTAATCCCAGCTACTCGGGAGGCTGAGCCAGAAGAATTGCTTGAACCCAGGAGGTGGAGGCTGCAGTGAGCCAAGATCGCGCTATTTCACTCCAGCCTGGGCGACAACAGCAAAACTACATCTCAAAAAAAAAAAAAAAAAAGACTGGGGGCGGGGGGTGGTCCACGTCTATGTTTACTCAAAATAAACCATAAACATCAGCTGTGTGGGACAACGGGCCAGTTCCACGTCTGGGTTTTTTTTTGTTTTGTTTTTTTTTTTTTACCTCCACACACCTTGCCCAGGGTCACCTGCACCCCTGACTCTGCTCTTTGCTTTGGAGAAATCCTTTAGCTCCTTCGGGCCTCCCAGCAGCGCTCTCTGCTTCTGAAATCCCAAGGTGTGCACAAGCTGGCTGGTGGACAAGCCCTTGATTCAAAGCCGCACACCAGACACCTGGGGGCACCACAATCACCACAGAAGACCTCAGACCAGAATGGCCGCATGTGGCTACTAAAACTAATCAAGCAAAATGTGAAAGTCACATGTGGCAGCAGACACATGTCAGGTGCTCACAGGCAGCCACCACGTGAGACACAGAGACCCCATCAGCAAGGAAAGTTCCACAGCACCACCGCGGCCACCACTTGGGCTCTGGCAGCACAGCCTGGCCACTTCCCACAGGAGACGTGCGCTCACTGGGTGTCCGGATCACGAGCCACACGTTAGAGGGAGGCACGCCATATGAGAAATGATGCTGGCACGCTTCTGCAAAGCAAAGGGCTGTTTCTAAAGCAGAGCCTGCCTGGGCAAACTGATAGGAGTATGTGTCCAGCAACTCTTCTATTAGAACAACCGACCTAGGGAAAACACAGCCACATTGCTGAAGGCATCTGCGAGAAAGGCCTTTACCTGCTGCTCTGTAAGATCCGCCAAGTCCATCTTGTTGAGGACCAGCAAGTGAGGCTTAAGCCCAAGGGTTTCCTGAAACAGAGGGTTGCGGCCTGAAAGTGGGATGTGGCAAAATTAAGGGAAAAATTCCACCAAAGCTTTACCAGCCAACCAACTATTTTTCTTGTCATCAGTGAACGAGTCCTCACATCTTGCCAATTCATTCCTCAAGTACAGGAGGAAAGCCCCAGCTGGCAGGAACATTTAAACGGAGGTTTCACAGCCTACCTAGAGAATGCCACCGCTGCAGCCTACTGTCAGGCTTGAGTGACCCAGACACACATATGAAACATGTAAGTTTCAAAGACACGCAGTCTGGACCCCACACCACAGATTCTGACTAACTGGTCTGGAAAGGGGCCTACCAATTCCTATTTTTAAAAGCCTCCCCAGGTAATTCTAACATGTAATATGACTTCAGGCAGAGGGGCCTCCCCTGCTCTGTGAAAGGATATTCGGGCATCATGGACCTCGATGATACAGTCCACCAGCTTCAGGCTGCTCTTCATCTTCTTCAGCCCTGGAAAACAGAAGGACGCCTCAGCGAAGGAGCTCACAACCTTTCTAGAGTAAACGATTCAAGCTGAACCGTCCAGTGTGACACGCCACCATACATAACCTACAAAGTCTACATCTGAGTGAAGCGTACCAAGTAACAGTAACAGGTAACACCCACTGAGCGCCTCCTCCAAGTTCCACACCCTTGGAAAGGGAGACGGGGAGGCGCCCTGCCAGAGGGTGGGCCATGTGTCAAAAGCCAGATGCGGTCTTCACCACCTGACTCGTGGCTGACTCTGGGTGGAATATTTAACTGCCATGGGGTTTTTTTCTTTTCTTTTTTTTTTGGAGACCGAGTCTCACTCTGTCACCCAGGCTAGAGGGCAGTGGCGCAATCTGGGCTCACTGCAACCTCCACCTGCCAGGTTCAAGCAATTCTCCTGCTTCAGGCTCCCAAGTAGCCGGGACTACAGGCACGCGCCACCCTGCCCGGTTAACTTTTTGTATTCTTAGTAGAGACGCGGTTTCACCATGCTGGCCAGGCTGGTCTCGATCTCCTGACCTCGTGATCCGCCCGCCTCGGCCTCCCAAAGTACTGGGATTACAGGCGTGAGCCACCGCGCCAGGCCCTTCCATTTCCACGGGTCTTAATCTGGGCTATAAAACAGTAACACTGGCTCATCAGGCCCCTGCCACCTTGTAGGAAAGATGACCAGTCCCCTAACCAGGAACACCACACACAGCCGAGATAACAAAGCTTCCAGCTTCCCTCCCCTCTAGTGTTGTCCAAAGACCGAGGACACAGCCTCAGACACCCACACGGACCCTTCTTCCAGCTCGGCCCCCAGGGCACGCAGAGCCCAGGCAGGGGCGGCCATCACGACACCTAGAGGGGCTGGGCCGGCCCCAGCGCTCTTCTGGGGCCGAACTGTGACAAACAGTAAGAAATTACCAAAGACTTATTCAAGCAGGAAAACGACTCAATATGAGTTAAAGCTGAACAGGTCCTTCATGCCCGCTGTTTCATTTAGTCCCCAAAAGACTCAGAAGTCTATCTTGTCAAGAACACGTGGAAACGGAGGCTTCGGGGGATTAAACGGGCAGAAGGCACTTGCTGGGAACAGGGGACGGGGCGGCGGGCCAGAGGTCGGAGGTCAAGCAGGCCCCGGGCCCGCGGCTGCGTTGCGGGGGCACTCGTGGGAACGGGCCTCTCCCGCAGCTGCGCAGAAGGCGTCTCGGCAGCTCCGGGAGCGGCTGAGACCGGGGAAGGAGGGGAGACGAGGCAGGAAGGGGGGGCCCGCCTGGGACGACCAGGAGAGACAGGCGACGGCCGAAACGGCGGTGGGAGGGTAGCACAGGCGCCGCGGCCGTGGGCATGACCTTGCCCCTCCCCGCCGTGCCTCACCCTTGGCCATGTGGCCCGGGAACCAGCGCGCCACGTCGCGGCCGCTCAGTAGGAAGTTCTCCCGCCAGGCGGCCTGGACGGTGCTGCACAGCGCGCGCGGGGCCAGTGTCATGGCAGCACCGTCCCCGGAAACGCTCCCGCAGCCGACCTCCTGTGCGCCGCCGCGACCCGCCTCTCAGGTTCCGGCGCTCCAAGGTCCCGCACCACGGCCCGCGCGTGCGCACGACGTCGCCTCCGCCCCTGGCGAAGCCTGGAGTGGGCGGGCCCCGGGCCCAGGGGGAGGGGCGAATGGTGGGCCGGGAGCCGGGGCGGGACTAGGAGGAGACCCCGGGGACCCGGGGGGGGGCGGGGCTCGTGGGTTTAAGAAATTCGCAGATTAACATTCATTAAATATTAAAACTCATCGCTCTCCCTTAAGCATATCCTGAGTATAAGTGTAACAAAAATTTAGCAATCTCTTTTTACAATTTGGTAAAATCTCTCAAATACTTTAAATTTACGTTATAAATGTAATCTCTTCATTTTCTTTTTAAGTACTTAACGGGTTTTTGTTTGTGTTGTTTTGTTTGAGACAGAGTCTCGCTCTGTTGCCCAAGAGTGCAGTGGCACCATCTCGCTGGTTGCAACCTCCAACTCCCGAGTTCAAGGGATTCTCCCACCTCAGCCTCCGGAGTAGCTGGGATTACAGGCGCCCGCCACCACGCCCAGCTGATTTTGTATTTTTAGTAGAGATGGAGTTCCACCATGTTGGCCAGACTGGTCTCGAACTCCTGACCTCCAGTGATCTACCTGCCTCGGCCTCCCAAAATGCTCGGATTACAGGCATGAGCCACTACGCGCAGCCTCAAGTACTTCAGGGTTTAATATAACAAACCATTTCCAAATACTGACTTCAGTTCTGTTAAACCAATTAATACAACGAGGCTGAAATATTCTCCACTGTCCAAGACTAGACATAAATGTAGTCGGATTTCAACTCTAAATCAGCAGTCAGCAACTGCTCAACTGCACACTGCATTACAAGAGTATTCCTCTACTGGAATTTTTATTTTTGAGACAGAGTCTCACTCTGTCACCAGGCTGGAGTGCAGTGGCGCGATCTTGGTTCACTGCAACCTCCACCTCCTGGGCTCAAGCAATTCTCCTGCCTTAGTCTCCCGAGTAGCTGGGACTACAGGTGCACACCACCACGCCCGGCTAATTTTTTTATATTTTTAGTAGAGATGGGGTGTCGCCATGTTGGCCAGGCTGGTCTCGAACTCCTAACCTCAGGTGATCTGCCCACCTCAGCCTCCCATAGTGCTGGAATTATAGGCATGAGCCATGGCACCCAGCCTCCACTGGAATTTTTTAAACAAGCTACTGAAAATACCAAACATGCTCAAATTCTAAGTACAAAAATATTGCCATGGTTCTGATGTTCTTAAACCACCTAATACCCTAACGCCTAGCTGCAAACATTTTTGGGCGTGAGAGACGTGGCCCCTCCACGGAAGACAGAAGCCTCCCAGGTGGTTTCTGGGCTGAGTGGGACAGTCAGGGCCTCCTGCTAGGTCAATGTCCCCAACCCCCCTCCTCACCAAGCTGGTGCCTCACACCCAGAGGGGGCAGCCTGGGTCTTGCTGTCTTTGTCCCTGGGATACAGAACTGATGAAACCTTAAATATCAACGATAAAGATTTTTGTACTTGAAGGAAGCTGCATTCCCTCATGGTCCTAGGAGCACAAAACCACAATAAAACCCTGTGGAATCTGAATTTTTCTCACAGGTGTCTGATGGGCAGGTAGGTGTCCCTGGAGAGACCAGTCTGGTGACACAGCAAATGCAGGTGGGGCTGCTTGCTACAGAGAGAGGCTGGGGCTCGGGAGGCTTGGGGTCAGGGAACGCCCTAGGAGGGGCGATTTGAACAGAGACCAGAGGGTGAGAAGAGAGGAGCCCCGCAGATCCAGGCTGGGGTGGAGGGGCCAGAGAGGGGCCTGGCTTCCCAGCACACTCACCCCAACACCACCCGGAACCCCAACACCCCCGGCACCCCAGCACACTCACCCCAGCACCTTCACCCCAGCATCGCCCACATCCCAACACCCCCGGCACCCCAGCACACTCACCCCAACACTGCCCAGCACCCCAGCACTGCCCACACCCCAACACTGCCCACACCCCAACACTGCCCAGCACCCCAGCACCTTCACCCCAGCACTGCCCACACCCCAACACTGCCCACACCCCAACACTGCCCAGCACCCCAGCACCTTCACCCCAGCACTGCCCACACCCCAACACTGCCCAGCACCCCAGCACCTTCACCCCAGCACTGCCCACACCCCAACACCCCCAGCACCCCAGCACACTCACCCCAGCACTGCCCACACCCCACACACTCCCCAGCTCCCATGGGCCGGGCACCCTGTTTCTCATTTCTGGCCTTATTAGGTATTCACTTCCTCCAGAAAACCCCCAGCCTCTGGACAGGGCACCCTCATCTCCCCAGTGTCTGCGAACCTGCGAAGTGGGCGTCTGACGCAGCAGCAGTTGATGAGCAAGAGGAGGGTTCTCAGCTACACCGTCATCCCAGGCAGCAGCCATGAGAATGCAGGGGGACGAGAAGCAACTACAGGACCCAGAGTTCAGGGAACCCAGAGTGCGGGGCCACGTGTGGTTGTGGGGATTGCAGACAAAAGGCCCTGTGGAACCTGGGCCTGGAGCAAGACAAAGACAACAGCAGCAGATGCTAGAGCCCCAAGGCAGGAAGGACAGGACAGCCTCGAGGCAGGAAGGACGGCTCTGGACGCTGCGGCTGTAATGTGCTTTATGTGCCCGGCACCTCCATGAGCATCGGTGTCTTAGCTCAAGTCAACCCTGGCCAGACTCCAATAACAGACACAAGAACTGAGAAGATGGCTCCAGTTACCAAAAACCAGAGGACTCTCATTAACATCCCCAAATATCAAGTCAGATTGAAATCTGTCAGAGGAAACGAGGGTCCCAGCCTCCCCTGGCACAGGAAGAACAGAGCAGGCTGGACCCAGCTAGAGCCTCGGCCTGGGCTGCTGCACCTGTGGGGCCCACAGACTGAGCAGGCGGTCAGCCTCCCTCCATCCCGACAGCAGAGCACCGTGCGTCGTGGAGTAAAACGTGCGATGTGTGGCTTCCCCTGCAAACAGGATCTGGAGCTGCAAAGAAGAGCCAGGGTTAGAATGGGGATGCAATTCAGACAGCAGGGTCTGGGCAGATAAACACACAGAAAATGGCTCACGAGCATCCACCAAGAGGTGGGAAAACACAGCTCACATACCTCCACCAACGGGCGAGAAAAGGGCTCGCGCATGTACCCACCAACAGCCAGGAAAACGGCTCACACACATTCACCAATGGGCAGGAAAACGGCTCACACGTATCCACCAACAGCCAGGAAAACGGCTCACACACATTCACCGGTGGGCAGGAAAACGGCTCACACGTACCCACCAACAGCCAGGAAAACGGCTCACACACATTCACCAGTGGGCAGGGAAACGGCTCACACGTATCCACCAACAGCCAGGAAAACGGCTCACACACATTCACCAGTGGGCAGGAAAACGGCTCACACGTATCCACCAACAGCCAGGAAAACGGCTCACACACATTCACCAGTGGGCAGGAAAACGGCTCACACGTATCCACCAACAGCCAGGAAAACGGCTCACACACATTCACCAGTGGGCAGGGAAACGGCTCACACGTATCCACCAACAGCCAGGAAAACGGCTCACACACATTCACCAGTGGGCAGGGAAACGGCTCACACGTATCCATCAACCGGCAGGAAAACGGCTCACACACATTCACCAATGGGCAGGAAAAGAGCTCACATGCATCCACCAATGGGCACACGTATCCATCAACCGGCAGGAAAACAGCTCACACACATTCACCAATAGGTGGGAAAGGAAGCGACTGCTCCCCGCAGCTCAGGTGTGAACAGCATTTAGAGAAAACGAGGTGGTGTAAACACTGAATAGTGATGTGGCCACAACTACTGGATCATATATGGGGAGGGTTGGGGACGGATCTGGGAGTCGGGTGGGCAGAGGGGTGGAAGAAAGCTACAACTTTATCTGATGTAATGAGAAGTCAATTAATAACACCTGAAACTGAAAACGCACACAGCAACATTTCCAAGCAGGCTCACTGAAGAGTGATCATGAGCTGATTGGAAAACTGAACACTGACTAAATATTGGATCATATTGAGGAATGATTGTTAGTTTTTAAGTGGGTAAATAGTATCATAGTTATATGGTTTTATTTGTATGTTTTCTGAGACAGTCTTGCTCTGACACCCAGGCTGGAGTCCAGTGGCGCAGTCATAGCTTACTCCAGCCTCAACTGGACCCAAGCCCGAGCAGCTGGGACTACAGTGCATGCTACCATGCCTGGCTACTTTTTTGTGTGTATGTGGAGACTGACTCGCACTATGTTGCCCAGGCTGGTCTCGAACTCTTGGCCTCAGCAAACCTCCTGCCTCGGCCTCCCAAAGCACTAGGATTACAGGTGTGAGCCACTGCCCTCGGCATCACAGTTAAGTATTTTACGAGCATGTCTTTATCTTTTAGAGACAGGCACCAAAATATCCCCAGGTGAATGTCCTGTGTGAGACATGCTTAATAAGTAAGGGCGGGGCCAGGTGGGGAGCAAGCTTGACTTAGGGGAAGCCTGGTGGGCACTCAAAGGTTCTACCTACTTTTGTATGTTTGACATTTTGCATAGGAAATGTTTCTCAAAAAGTGGTAGCAGAAACA